GTTTAAAATCTAAAATGTGTGAAAATTTTACTGCTTTGACCATAGGTGTAATGGATTTTTATAAATCAACCAATAACTGATTTTTATCCTATCCTCTAGTCACCCCATTTATTTCCTTTATGGCAGTCTTTTTAACCAGATCAGAAAATTATTTTATTTGTGTATATATGCTCACCCACTACGGTGTAAATTCAGTAAGGCTACAAACCTTGTCTTTTGATTCACACTACACATCCAATACTTAGAACAGAACTGGCATGTAGTCAGGGCTCAATAGGTCCTCGAAGGAAGAAAGCTAGCTGTAGTGTTTCTGGCTATAAAATCTCTCAAAATTAAGCTTAAATAAACGAATACCCCAATTTAAAAAAACACTCAAAAGACAAGAAGAGAATTCGGAAAAAAAGATATACAAAAGGGCATTAACTGTATAGAAAACTATTTAACCTCACTAATGAGATAATTTTAAAAAGAAACATTACAGTACCATTTCACTCCTTCCCCCACCAAAAAGGGTAATAACCAAGTGTTTGTGAACTTACACAGTTGGTGAGCATATGTAATCAATAAACCCTCTCTAAAGAGCAATATGTATTAAGACCTATAAATAATTTCCTCCTCTGACCCAGTAATTATTGTCTAGAAATGTATCCTAAGGAAGTCGATTTATGTGTAAGATTCTTCATTGTAATGTTATTTATAACAAAAAAGAGAAAACATCCTAAAATGTCCAGCAATCAGAGGACAATTACATTGTTATATTCATATGATTTATATTGTTTTCTAACATTATTTAATGGTAGAGGAAATTGTTAAGTGGGGAAAAGAGACACTGTATTTTATATATAGTTGATCCAAATTCTGTAAGTAAATAAATGCTGGAGGAATTTCTTTATTTTGTGAATAAATAAACTAATAAGTTCTGGAGGAAAATTATACAATATTAACAAGGGTTCTTGGAGTATTAGATTCCTTGTAGAATTCCAGCTAATGTATGTATCAGCTATTGGATACATGTTAGAATTAGAATATTAACGATTTTGTAACCCTTATGAAATAATGAATCTGAGCCTCCTGATGAAAGAACACATCACCACCTACGAAATAACCCTTGCCAAAAAGTTGAATCTGGTCTGATTAAGCCTCTAGATTAGATCCAACATCCAATTTATAGGAAATACAAGAGACAGGAGAACATGTTAGTAACACAGGAATTCAATCAGCAAAACCCAGATTGTGGGAAACTTTATAGAACAAATGACCTAGTCTCTTCAACAAATAAATTTAAGAGGTGGGGGACATTTGGGGCAGAGGTGGGATGAAGGGAGTGGCTGTAGATTAAAAAACACTTGAAACGCATTGACGAACACAGTATGTGAACCTTTAGTTGGATTCTCAGTCGAACAAACTATAAAAAACAAATACTTGAACAAAGAAACATGAAACAATTAAAAATTCGAACACTAACTAGGTATTTGGTGCTATTTAGGAATGTATGTCTCATTCCCTCTAGCAAAGTAATATGTCATGTCAGGCTATACAGTTGCTATAGTAAGATATACCTGCCATAGCTCTCTGGCTATACTCAAGAATTGTCTTTTTTATATTCATTTTCAACTGTTTTTCTTATATTAAAGATATTTAATATCAATAGACAGAAGAGGTGGCCCTTCAGTGGCAAAGGAGACTGTTAAACTTGCTGAAGAATTCTTCCTTTCTACGGAAGATACAGTTCTTGGCCTTGACCTCAGTGGAGACCCTACAGTAAGTTATTTTTCCTAAATACATTTTATTTCTAAAAGTCAAATTAGTTTGTGGGATAAGGACTGGCTTGAAGCATCCTGCATTCTCCAAAGGTCCAACAGTCTCTCTGTGTGGATGAAGCCCTATTCTGCCCTGTATGACCAGAATGTCTACAGCAACTGTTCTCAACCAGGGTTCTGTGAAAGAATTAAGCTCCATAAAAAAGAAAAAAAGATTTGCATGACAATATGATTATTTTCTCCATTCTTCTAAAGATGGTACATAGCTAGTTCCATTCTACCTACGTAGGAGAGAAGTTAATTCATTATATACAGTGGATGTCAAATGCTTAATTATAGTTAGAGCTTATTTATCTCATAGACCCCCCAGTTGAGAAAGGCTGGCCTAGAGCTTCTTGAATGTCAGATTCAAGCAGGGTGTCTCATCTGTGGCACTATTGCCATTTTGGGCCAAATAATTCTGTTGTGGGGACTATCCTGTGCATTGTAGGGTATTGAGCCGCATTCCTGGCTTCTGTCCACTAGATGCCAGTAGCACCCTCCCAGTGTGACACCCCAAAATGTTTCTAGACAGATTGCCAAATGTCCCTGGGGGTGGGGGAGGGAAGGGGTGAAGAATTGCCCTTAGTTGAAAGCCACTGAATTAGTCCCATGAAACTGTTTTTTTTGGCTTTGTCTAAACTTGGTCTGTTCTACGTTGTATCATCCATCCATTTTGTAGAAGCTTTCCTTAGTAATCATGTGGGTTCCTGAATCAGGTAAGTTGTGTTAGCACTAGATACCCTTCCAGAAATAAAATTTGGTGACTGCTATATCTAGCTTAGCTAATTGACCTCAGGGTTGTAGATACTTAAGATTCTTGAGGGCAGGGACTGTGTCTTTGCCAGCTTTGCCTTCCTCAAAGTATCTAGCACATTGTAGGTGCCTTATAAACAAAATGTACAAATGAATCAATCTGCTGTGTTTTTCTGCCATTATTTTATTACTTTGTTTATTGGGACAGAGTACCCAGTTCCTCAGTTTGCCCAGAGTTCTCAGCATCCTCATTTTAACCTTTATCTTCAAGGCAGGACAAGCAAAAGATTTCTTGGAACCTCTTTTAGAAGCAAAAAAAGCAGGTCTGAAGTTGGCATTGCATCTTTCAGAGGTAAATAATATTGTAAAATTGGGCTGGAGAGGGTAGATTACCATGGAAAATAATAATCTTTTTTTTTTTTTTTAATATATCTTTATTGACTTCAGAGAGAGGAAAGGAGCGGGAGAGAGAGAGAGAGATAGAAACATCAGTGATGAGAGAGCCATTGACTGAGCCCACAACCCAGGCATGTGCCCTGACCGGGAATCGAACCGCAATCGCCTGGATCCTAGGTCGATGCTCAACTGCTGAGCCATGCCCAGCTGGACAATAATCATTTTTAAGTGGCTAAAAACACCTGGCTTGGATAAATATTTTTAGAAGGGGAAAAGTAATATTTTTTAACATAAATTATGATAAAGGCATGGCTTGCTTTAGTTCCTCATGTTACTATTTTTGTGGTTTCTGGGAGGATGGCTGTTGACCTCCACTATAGCTGTGTCTTTAAAAACAGCTTAATGACATCTTGCTAGAGAAAATGCTTAAATTTCCATCATCAACCTTGTCATTGGCAAGCTGACGTTGAGAGAAGCACCAGTGCATCTCACTTGTCCTCGTAGGGAAAGGGACCTGAATGTATCACATGCATCGGCAAGAATGGGAGTAGCTCATCATCATTTTATAAGGCTCAGCAGGGAGATCAGGTGCCCCACTGTCCCCAGCTCCTTGGCAGCATGAGCAAGTGACAGATAATGGCTGGAGAACAGTCACTTTCTTAAGCACATCTCTGTGAGGCAAACAAGGGACTCTTCACACTTTCCCCATTTTACAGATGGTTTATTTCTCCCTATTCTTTTTTTTTTTTGACATACAAAAAGCTATACATAATATATACAACTAGATGGGTTTGGATTGGATTTGTTTCTTAAATGCAGGAAATAATAGTCTACTTATGGGGTTATCTTGAGTATTAGATGTGGTAATATATAAAGGTTGAATAGCATCATGATTTAAAGATTAAGGAAAAACTTGGAGTTTCTTGTCATTACTGGCAGTTTTCATGTCTATAAGCAAATAGCGGCAGAACTTTAAAAACCTAGGTTTCATGTTTCCGCAGTGATTAAAATGACCTTTCACTCTTGGGACACCATCTAGCTGACCTGATACCTGATTGAAGCAATTCGTCAGTATAATTGTATAATGAAATAGACAGTATGTGTCACTGTAACCAGTTATCTCTGGTATTGGTACACAACATCAAAGCTCTTTACTTTAGTTTCTGTTGTTTCTTGTTTGATCCATTGGATATTAAAACATTTCATTTCATCATGTTATTATAATTTGCCTTTTAGGCTATTAGGAGATAAAGAGCACAGCTAGACATTTTTTTATCAAATTGACTATTTTATTTATTATTATTATTATTATTATTATTATTTTTAAATATTACAGATGTCCCCTTTTCTCCCCAATGAGCCATTCCACCC